AAGGAAGGAAGGAAGGAAGGAAGGAAGGAAGGAAGGAAGGAAGGAAGGAAGGAAGGAAGGAAGGAAGGAAGGAAGGCCAAAGAACAAGTTCCACGATATATTGTGGCTTTCAATTCCTCCATTAAATTCAAGAGTTTTAGTTTTAGAACAATTCTGCAAGGTACTAAAAGCTTCTTAAAAAAGGATAGAGAGGAATAAATGTTAAAAGAAATAGATAAAATTGATTCTATAAGCGCATCACTAACCTCACTCATACATTAATTCCTGGAAAAAAATGACTTTAAAACATTTATTCATCCTCTTTGTATGTTTTTTATAGAAATGATCAGATGAAAATGTAGAATTTCAGAGACATAGCCTAGCCACGCTTCCTTCAAAGTAAATGGCCCTGAATTCAATCTCATTATATGGAGATTTATCTGGGAGTATATTTAACCTAATAAATCTATAGTATGAACCTAAGCAAGGTTGCTCAAAAGAATGACTATATCTGAGAAGGATAAGGCCTGTTTCTCAAATAATTTTACAGATTTAAGCTTCATGCTCTTAGAGTGGGTTTGGAGGATTTATGTCAGCTGTGGAAAGTTCAAAGTAAGCAGTCTTAGCTTTTAACAACAACAACAACAAAAGTCCTGAGGAACTTGTAGTCACTTCATAGTTTTTTGCATCTCTATGCTGTTATGCCATGATTGATTGATATTTGCAGCCTAGGACTGGTAGCATCAGGGTAACATTGTCGTGAAGCAGTGGGACTTTGGTGAGAGGACAAATTCCCTTGCTGAGTGGAAAGAAGATGCTTAAGGAAAGAATTTAACAGTGAGTTTGCAGGGTGATGGGAAGATCTTTTGCAGATTAAATTCCCTCGGGCCAGAGATGTTCTCCGTGTTTGCCTGCCTGATCTTCCTCTTCAGTAAAAAGGCATCAGAGCTAGACTTTTGATTTCAGAAACGTTGCAGAGGGGAATCTATGTGATTCGCAGAAATGACATCAGAAGAAGTTACACATTCACCGTGCCAATATTCAAGTCTCAAGAAAATGCATGAAAAAAAAACCCCTCTATAATCCAAAATAGTACAAGATGGCAATATGTGATGGCATTAAATAAACCAGCTGTCATTCAAAATATATTATTTTTAGGATTTTTTTTTTAAAAAATTTTTTTTTTACTAGAAACAAGACAAAAGCTCCAAACTACTCTTTCAACGTAGTTGTTAGAAGGCATTGATAGCGGCAGTTTTCCCCCCTCCTTCATCTGTAATGCTGCAATATTTTTAGAGGCTCTCTTTAAATAAAACAACTACTTTTCCGAACACAGCTGAGATCTGAAATTGGTTTTGAAAGCTGTTACTTCAGGTTTTGATTTTTTTGTATACTGCCTTCTCTCAAAAATAACACTTATCAAGAAAATGGCTGCTGTTTTCACTAAGCTGAAATATCTGAGCTGAAGTCAATTTTAGTGGGATTTTTTTTTTGGGGGGTGGTCATTTTTCAGTACTTTTGAAAAACGTACAAAGCCAAAATGACTGAGTGATCATCCATTAAATGGAAGGAACTTAGTGATCTTAGTGATTTATTTTTAAAAAAAAACTGTGAATATATGTATGCGACTGCCTGCTCCTAAAAAAGGCAGAATGCCAAGCTTGCCTTTATGAGGGCAGGATTAACGAATACCAGACTTTGAAAGGGAAGAAATGTTTTGAGATTTACTTGGAAACTCACATCATGCTTGAAATTATAGGCAGAAAGATAAAGGAGTTCCATGACTAGAAGACGACACCATCTCAAAATATGTATAACTTTTATTTGCTGGCTATAAACTTTTATAAATTTTGGTCCTAAACTAACCACTGCTCAGAACAGTTATTGCTATGCCCCTGGTGGAGGTTGACTCTGAGGGAGAGGAGGAACAGCTGACAGGGAGTGGAAATGTAGCTCTGGAGGTTGTGGAGGAGGCTGGGGAAGGGCAGAGGCCGGCTGAGCAGTCAGAGGAGGACCCAGGCCCATCCCCTATCCATCCTAGGGCACGCAGGAAGGAGGATAAAGGAGAGGCATGGTCTACTCGGGAGGAGAGGGCCTTGATCCTCTTCATGGGCTGCAGGTGTGAGAATTGCATAAGAGTTTGGACCTGCGTTCTGGCAAACGCTGGAGACAAAATGTGTTTTATTTTGGTTTGAGGTTATCTTGGTTGGCATCCTTCCAACAGACTGTGCCTTGTTATCTCCTTGAATTTGGTAAATACTTCTCCTGTTCCGCTATGGAAATGTTATCATTGTAGCTTGTTTGGTTTTTATTTTCACCTCTATCTGCTCATTAAATTTGGACTGTATTGCTTTCTTTTAAAGACTATTTTTGAGTACGTTTTATCTCCAACTGAGAATTATTGAACAGTG